TATAGCTCTTTCATTCTTACCAAAACATCCGTAATCTGGAGTCAGAGTCACTAATGAATTCATATTGCAGGTGTACCTGTGTGAATTTCAGGAAATTAACCTCTTTGAATTTTAATTTCTTTTTTAAATGAAGATGATGATAATAAGACTTCTTAAGACTGTTAAAAGAAATAATCAATGTAAAGTGATTAGCTCAGTGCCTTAAATGTAGGAAGTTTCCTGGGAGGTTGTCATCATCACCACCATCCTCATCATTAATTAGTATGTAAAATCCCAAACACCTGAATCCTGACTTGACACAGCCTCTGTTTCTGTACTTTTGCCTCCTTCCTCAGGTATCTAAAGGAAATAAGTACACAGAATCCAAGAAACAAATGTTCATACTTTATTACTGTGAAGATTTTGCCTTTGTATAGTAATCCTGAGCTGAACTAGACTGACCTGTTTAGAGAACTAGATAATGGAATTAAATTTGATCTTTCACTCAGATACACAACAACATAGCTCTCCTTTGCCAAGACAGTGTCTCTAAAAGCAGACTAAGGAAAGCAAATGTTTTTGTTCCTAAGACTTGGAGCTAAATTTGCCCAACTCATCCTTCCCATATTTTCTTAGAGTAGGACATTCATGTGAAAGAGAAATAAAGAGGCTGTATTTGGGTGGGAACAGGGTGGCAGACCAGTTAGGAGGTAATCCTTGCAGTAATCCTTGATGGTGACTGAGGTCAAGATGGAGGTGGTAAGAAGTGGTCAGATTCTGGATATATTTTGTTTATTTTTTTGTAGAGCCAGGGTCTTGCTATGTTGCCCAGACTGGTCTCAAACTCCCAGGCTCGAGAGATTCTCCCATCTTGGCCCTCCAAAGTGCTGGCATTATAGGTATGAGCCACCATGCCTGACCAGATTCTGAATGTGTTTTGAATGAGGAGGTGACAAGATTTTTTAATGGATCATGTGTGACATCTGAGAGAAAGGAGGAATTAAGGGGGGCTGCAGGTTTTATGACCAGAGAAGCTGAAAGGATAGAGTCCTTTTATTTTAATTTTCTTGGTCAACCTCTTCTTATCTATAAGGTCTTAACATTGGCCAGGACTAACTTCTCAATGTGGATAAGTTTTATAAAAATCTATGGTTATTTCCCTCGATAATGATTCTTGGTATAGAGGGCTTATACATCTCCTGTTAAATTAACCCTTGGGTGTTTTGATGTTTTTTAATGTCATCATAAATTTTGTTTGCTATTTGTTTGCTGGTATAAACCAATAAATAAAATTATTCCTGCTTATTGACCTTACACCCAAAAAACATTACAACATTCATGCATCATCCTAGTAGTTTCTCTGTAAAATTTTAGGATTTTCTATGCACATAATTTTGTCATCTTCTAATAATTACAGTTTTATTTCTAATCTTCAGGCTTTTTGCTGCTTTTTCCTACTTTGTTGCACAAACTAGGCCCTCTATATGTGCTAAATAGAAGTGTTGATAGTAGATATCTTTGTCTCATTTTTATTCTTAGGGAGAATGTTCTCAGTATTTCACTGTTATATAGGATGTTTGCTATAGATTCTGTTGTAAATAGTCTTTGTAAGATTAAATAAGTTGCCTTCTGATCCTTGTTTGCTGAGTTTTTATCAAGAATGGAAGCTAACAAGCGTAAGAGATGTTGAAATGCTTTATTTCTATATGTGACTTTAAAATTCTCAGCCCTTTCAGATCCCAAAACCTCTTCATATAATAAACTTTAGCCTTCTTTATCATACCTAAAGCGAAATTCATAGATCATATAATCCACCTATACTCATATATTTGTAAATATAAAGAAATAAGCATAATATATAATAAAATAATATATTCATATGTGAATGTTCTGGCATGACTGTACTATCATACAATATATTATGTATCAAATAGCCAAAGTTATTTTTAGGGCAGATGCCAGTCCCATTCAGAATCATTGTTTTAGGGGATAATGGCACAGGTTCACATTTATAGCAGACTTCTTTGATTAGTGATGAATCATTGGTACTATTAGGAAATACCAATCGTCATTAGGATAATTTTAGGGCTTACAGACATAATGACAAAAAAGAGAACAATTCTCTTGTGATATCTAGAGGCAAGTTTACTCATTCAACAAATATTTACTAAGCATTTGCCATGTGCCAGGCACTGTTCTAGATGCTGATAACAGAGCCATGAGTAAAACAGCTGTGTGCTGGCCCCTCAGACCTTATGCTCAGTAGAGGAAAAAGATGGTAAAGCAATAAATAAATATGTAACATATAAGATAGTGATAAATGCTACAATGAAAAATCAGGCAAGGTAAGGGGCGAGAGAATAATGGGGTTTGTGCATGTGCTTATGTGTGTTGTATGAGGTAGGGTGAGCAGGAAAAAAGCTTGTACAGACATCTGAATGAATGCTAGTATCTGGAGACATGCTTTCTAGGAAGAGGAAAGAGGGAGGACGCTTGGTATAGAAGTTGAAAAACAGCATATAACCAGTACCAGGCACCATGTTAGGCACTATATGTACATTGTCTTGCTCATTCTTCCCCCAAATCTTATGAATTGAGTGATGATAATCTTAATTTTATAGATGAGGAAATTGAGGCACACAAATTATAAAGTGAAACAGTTAGAATTGAAAATCCAGACCCAGCTTGTTACAAAGCCAAGGAATTAGATGAAGAAATGCTTTCAGGAGCCCTCTTCTTTGAGTGTTTTATCACAATTACCATAAGAATAATTTAGTTCCATTCAGAGAAATGGGAGAACTGGATAGAAGACTTGAATACATAATCATTTACAGTTCTTGTAGCATTTTAAAAATATTGAACAAATAAAGGCTTTGGAATTTTGTGACTGGAAAACATTCCAAATTAAGTTAAAATGAGTAAGATTATTCATTTTGTGGACTTTCTAGGGCTTTTGTTTGTACTGCCTACTAAAGTTTTTGTTTTCTTTGATTATTTCCTTAGTTGATAATACCATTGACTAGGCAGGGACATAAAACTCAGTCATTTTCAATGGTTAATGCTAAGAAGTTTATAATCTTAGATTTATGGTAGACTTAACACCAATAATCAATTCTAAAATGAGTGCTTTCTTAGGTACCAGATATCATCTGTTAGTAATGCATACATTGTTAATATTCACTGTAAAATTAACAACAGACTTAAGTAGAAGACATTGTGTCACATGTTTTATCCTCACTGATGTCTATTCAAGAGCTGTTCAGTTTGTAAATGTATCTATTCCCCTAATACAACATACTGTAAAATTAAGATCCAGATTCATTAAATAATAATAATGGTTAACATTTGAGAGTTGCTTCCTCCAAGCATTATTCTAAGTGCTTCACATGCTTTGAGCCTTTCATTTGAGTGTCAGTATATCTAAAATAACAGGGAATATTTTATTAGGTTAAGTTTCCTATTCATTCTAGTAGTCTCAGATCATGGCTCTAGACTAACTGAAGGAACATCATAGTATATTGAAAGTTAATTATGGAAAGCTTTTGACCTAGTTTTAAAGTGATTAAGCAGAGACTGAGTCCCCAGAATATATGGATGCCAGTGTGACTTTTAGTACAATTTATGTTTACAAACATATCTGAGTATGAAAAAGTAAATTAAAATAAATTACTTTTTTTAGATTTTTATTGGATAACAATTAAGAACACAGAAAGAGGCAACATGTGAAATGATTCAGGGCGTAGATTTTTCTGTTGGGCTGCCTGAGTTCAGATTCTTGTTCCTGTGTTTACCAGCTCTGTGATCCTGGCAAATTAACCTCTCGATAAGCCTCAGTTTCTTCATCTGTAAACTAGGTCTGCTAATAGTATCTATCTCCAGGGACCTTCAAGAAGGTATGAGTGACAATTTCTATGAAGTGCTTATTAGCACATAGTAGCCACAATTTATTGAGAACCATCATCATCATCGTCATTGTTTTATTGTTAAATTAAAAGATACTAGAAAGTAATATAAGTTAAGGGAAGAAAAATTTCCCTTGGACACAAAATACTTGAAGTTAAAGGAAATACAAATAAGATAGCCTTTTACAAAGATATTTCTTTTAGCATAAGCTATCTCTAACCAAATTATTTTAGTTAAAATATCTCAATTACTTTTTTCCCCCACATATGAAACAAAGACATTTATTGAAGACAAAAGTGTAGAAAGTATAGTACACTCTCAAGATGGTAGACAGCAGATATATTCTCGAGATGGTAAACATCGGACTGCTCTAAAGGGGGCATCAGCCTCAATTTCTTTTAAAAGTAGCCTCAGAATATGTTTTGAATTAAAATAAATGAATATTTTAACAGTGGAATTAATTTGAGAAATAGAGCTTTGTCACATTGTGATAAGTTGTGACATCAGTCTCTTAAAAAATAGAAAGCTAATTATTAATTTTAGCAAGTAGAGCTATATTGTAATATATTGAACTCTTTGACTTTTGTATGTCAGGTATATATTTTTGAAAAACAATTTTTCAATAGCCATTTTATTTCTCAGTCTCAAATCTAGTACTGTGGTGTCAATACACATTTCTTAAACTCTTAAAAGATACAGTTTCTTCATGGAAATTGTTCAAAGAACCTATTTCTAAAGCTTATAACTTAGGTGGTTAGCTCTAGGTATTTGACCAGTGAAGAGTCTCTTTGGAGAATATGTATCAGCCAGTTTCTTCTGTCACATAAAATAAGAAATCAGATGTTTAAAAAACATTGTGCCCAAAGATGCAGAGGTAAATATTGCTATTAAGACTGCTTTGGATTCCTTTGAAATTGTTGCAGGTAAATTACAAATCTAAAGAAATAAACCTGTCACAAAGAAAACAAAATTTTCAAAAACTATTTAAAACATTGCAAATATTTTATTAGATGATTTATAAACATATTGTTATCTTCTCTGAATTTAAAATTTTGAAACCAGTAGAGTGTTTGTATTAACCAGATATGATGTAATAATTACTATTTATTTTTATAAAGGTTCAGAGGTCCAAAGAGATGACATTCTGTGGATTGCCATGGCCGGCACTCATCAGATATGGGCACTCCTATTGGACTCTGGCAAACTACCAAAGAAAAAGTAAGTGGCAGCATCTCTCTTTGAATAGACTGTACTACTTGGAGTTCACAGAATTCTCTTTCCTAAAGTGACCATATCCACACAGCTCCCATTGTACTGGTCAGGATATGCTAGGTTATGCTACCAGGGCAGACAGCTCAAGTTCTCAGTGGTTTAAAACCAGGCTTATGTCTTGCTCACTCACATAGGTTCACTGGGGAGCGCTATTCTGCTGCCCCAGCTGATGAAATAGCCACTGTTTGGAGTTTGCCAGTCATCCTGGCAGAATGAGAGAGAAAGAGGTGGTGAGTCACTCACTGGCTCTTAAAACTTCTACTCAGAAATGACACATATCACTTCTGCTCACAATTCATCAGCCAGAGTAAGTTTTATGACTATACCTAACTTCAAGGTAAGTAAGAGCAATCTTCGTAAACAACCAGAAGGAGAACTGGGAATATTTTTTGCCCCTTATCTTCTAAGACATAGCTCAAATATGTCCAATCATTCATTCAAATAGGTGAGAACCGTACCACATAGCAGGGTGGTTAATAACTAAGGTTTTGTAGTTAGACCTGAGGTGAATCCCGGCTCTGCCACTTACTATCTATGTGAGTTTAGGAAAGCCACTTTAACTTCCTAAGGCTCACTTTCCTTATTTATGTTATGTCATAGGCTTGTGTTGATGTCAGAAGAGCTCAGCATAGTGCCTGGCATATACAGTTAACATAAGTGGCTTTGCTACCACTGTTGGGGATATAAAGATGAAAGGTTAGTGTCTACAAAGTTTCTCATATCTTTTCCATAGAGCCTTTCCTCTTTCCCTGGCAGAACTGACTATACTCTTCCCTACGACCTCACTGTACCCAATATGAAGTTATATCACTGCACTGATAAGTTTGCCTGCCCTCTCTCTTTTTGATTGCACTTATTTTTAGCTATTCCCTCCTGCTAGACTGTCTGTTAAAGGAAGGGGCCATGTACTAGCACAGTATCTGGGACATAGTAAGAGCTCAATAAGGGTTTGCAAAATAAATAAATGATAGAAAGTTAAACCAGAAAGGCTGTCAGATAACCATAGGAAGTGGTCATCTCAGTTACCTTTGTCAGTAGAAAGGAACAGTTATATAGATTATCCAAAATATCAGATTTTCCAAATAGTGTGTATATACATGCATGTTGCTTTGGAACACATTTCTGTTTTATAACATTTAATCATTAACAAATATTTATTAAACATACTATATGCAAGGCACTATGCTAGGCAATAGAGATGCAAATGATATACTCACTATGTTAAGGATAAAATGAAAAGATGTGGTTGCTGTCCTCAGTGGACTTACAGAGGAAAAATCAGATCAGCAAGCAGTTTAAAAGTAGTGTGTGTAAAAGAAATCACTGCAATAGTGCCTTAAATTAAAATTGTTCCTTATATAAGTAAGAGAAACATCCAATGTCACTAACGTTTGAGGTGTCAAGGAAGGCTTCCTGGAAGAGGCTGCTAACCTGAGCCCTGAGAGAGGAATGGGAATTAAACAGGGAGAGTGGGAGGTTTTCTAGGCAAGAGTTGACACCAGTGATGTCAGTTGAAGCCAGATCATGCAGTACCTTGTGAGTTCTTTTAAGAGATTTGGACATTCTACAAGCCTTTTAGAAAGTTTTAAGCTGGGACATGACATGATTAGATTTGTGTTTTTGAAAGAATGCTGGCAGCACTCTAGTGGGACAAGACTGGAGACAGTTACCATTGAGGAGGCTATTGCTATCATCCAGGCAAGAGATAATAATAACCTCAATAGTGAGGTTACCAGTAAGATTTTGGTGAGGCATAATTATAAATAGCAAACAGAAGTAACAGAGGTTGCCAGAATATGCTGTTCTGGGTGATGCTAATTTGAACATAGATGGTCAAGAGCTCCCTAGATTTCCTAACAAGTAGAATTGTCACTGTCATTCATAATATGAAAATGGTCCCTCAGATAACATTGACCTGCCTCTTAATTTTAAGGATATATTAGCTTTATTTATTACTGATCTTCAGGTGGTAATGACCCCAGATGTTTTAAAAGTCACTGTTTCTCTTCATTCTTTAAGGGAACTCCTTTTATAAAGTGCTCCTTATAGTAATTACCTTTCAGTTTATTTGTGTTGGATATTAGTTAGTACATGTATTTTTCTAGCTAGCTTATTTCTAGAAATTCCTTGAAAAGTGGCCATATTTTATACATGCTGTATCCCTTTGCCTCTGTCCCCTGCTTCCTGCCTAACTTAGCGTGAGGGACATATCAACCAATAAGTGATGTTCCTGTTAGACTTTTGCATGTTGTACCATATTTGGAAATGATATACATGTAGTCTTTCATTTTGCATCCTAAGTCAGCTTCTTCCCTTCCCTCCACATAGCACAGTACCCTGTCCTCCTTATAATCCCTCTAGCATAAACTTAGAAACCAAGGTATAAAACTTTTCACATTATAAAAAGAATCATTGCAATAGTCCTTTAAATAGAAATTTCTCTACCATATATAAGAAATTGATTTGTACAATTGATTAGTTAAAGCAGTATAATCATCCAATATCATTTTCTTAAAATGGTGATGCCTGACCTGGCTGTCTTTCAGAAACTATTCTTTAGTTCCTTTTGCTAGTCACAGAACATTTTTAATGAATATTTAAGTGTTAAACTCTCAAAAGCTACATGATCTTTTTAGTTCACTTTTAGAACCTAACATTATTAATATATCGAAGCCAAGAAGAAGTCAAGCAGGTGGGAAAATAACTATGTCATCAATAATCTGATTTACCTTATAATTCTAACCTTGTCAGGGATTTCCTGTCTGTCCTTTGAGAGTAGTTTTGGTTTTGTGCGTGTCAAAGAAAAGTAGAAAGGTCCCCCACACAGTGGCTAAATAAGTTAATGATTGGAAAAATGACAGTGAAAGCTGACTTGCATAATTTAATTAGGCCATAATCACTAGTTTTGTTTGTTTGTTTTTTTCCCAATGTTTATCACTTTTGATTTGATCATTTACATTGATTTATTTAATAACTGAATTGGCAATATACCACATGTTGACTCTACCTATGAACTTGTCTTTTTCAGTGAGTTAAAAAAAGGAACTTGCCTTCGGTTTGCTGGAAGTGGAAATGAAGAAAATCGAAACAATGCATATCCTCACAAGGCGGGTTTTGCCCAACCTTCAGGCCTTTCTCTGGCCTCTGAAGATCCCTGGAGCTGCCTATTTGTAGCAGATAGTGAGAGCAGTACGGTGAGAACCGTCTCGCTGAAAGATGGAGCAGTGAAGCACCTTGTAGGGGGAGAAAGAGATCCCATGGTAAGGACAGTCACTCTTGTACGGTGTACTCAAGCACTGACCAAGCTGGCAATTTCCTGAATTGTTTAAAGTTAATAAGATTTGTGAGAGATCATTCTTGGCCTATCCAGGAGTTAAAATGGAAGTCAAATCAAAGTAAATGTGAATATTAAAGAAACAAAAGTAACAAGCCATCTAAGAAAAGTAAATTGACACTACTTGATTGCATATAAATGTTGAGGCTTCAGGGAGAAAGGGAGAATGAAATATTGATTATTAGAGAGAAGAGAAAAGTATAAATTAGTTATTGGACAGTGGGGTGGAAAGAACATCCGACCAGCAGACCTAGCCCCTTCCTGACCCAATGTGTGACTGTTGCAAGTAAAACTATGAAGCACCACAAACTACCATGTTTTCCCGAAAATAAGACAGGGTCTTATATTTATTTTTCCTTAAGAAGACACCCTAACACTTATTTTCAGAGGATATGTTTTTTTTTTTTTTAAGTGCAGTGCAACAATCTACATTTATTCAAATATAGTTAAGTCGTCTTCTTCTGGAACATCATCATAACTCTCCGAACCCCAAATTCCATCCTGAATTTCTTGCAACTCTATTTCCTTTAGAACCATTGGCCCCAATCTCTCATGTTGAGCAATAGAGCGCTCATGGGGCAGATGAGAAGGGCTGCTCATCTTCTTTACTGCTCCATGACAAAATGCATGGGTTGTGCAGATATGCTGCATAGCCACACCCATCACTAGGTCTTATTTTCGGGGTAGGGCTTGCATTGCGCAAATTCTTAGAAATTCTGGTAGGGCTTATTTTATGGGTAGGTCTTATTGTTGGGGAAACATGGTAATACACTTCAAAATTCTATCATTGTTTTTTTTAATCTGAGTTAAGTACCCAGCCCTATTTTTGTGAAGGCCAGGCTTTTTCCCCTTTTAACTTAAATAGCATTTACGACTGTCTTATTTTCAGTTTATATTCTAACAAAGTACTGTAAAAATTATAATAACTGCTGTTTCTTTCTTTTTAAAAAAAATAAAAGAATTTATTTGCTTTTGGTGATGTTGATGGAGTAGGAATCAATGCAAAGCTTCAGCACCCCCTTGGAGTAACATGGGACAAGAAAAGGAACTTACTTTACGTGGCAGACTCCTACAATCACAAGGTGAGTCTTGACAGAATTATAATACATAATACCTTGCTTTTCGTATGTGGTATTTAAAATGCTGAAGGATCTGTGAGCCTCCTACAACTGCCACTCTAAAATATAGAGAGGAGTAACAGTCCATGACAACTATATGGCAGCTTGTTGTGTTCTTTTCTTGGCTTTCTTTGCTAAGAGGTTATGATGACACCCTGAACTAGGGAAAGCACCAAACCAATTCCACTGTCAGTGGCCAAAAGTTGGGAATTGCAACCTATCAAAGCTTCTTAGTAACATATTTAGTAAATAAGAAGGCAAGTAGCAAGGAAACTGATGTCAACTAACAAATGAACATTTGGGGGCTGTTGGATAGTTGCAGTGCCTGTTAGCAAATAATTTTGTTTTCAGCAGCATTTCCATTTTTGTCAATTTAACTGTTTTGATTTTATTGCATTTCTCTTTTTTATAAGAATCAGTGAATAATAAATATTAATACAATACTTTGTGACTAGCGACCATAAATGTAATATAGTTGAGATGTAACTAGCAATCATTATCTTTAAGAAAGGTAGCAAATCCTCAGGCAACACTTAGCTGCTCATGAGGAGAAAGTTCAGTTGTGAAAGTGTGTCCCAATGTGAAGAAATGCAATACAATTTAAATTTTTTTTAATTCCAGAAATAATTTTTGAAAGATTGCTTCTAGAAGACAGGATATAACTAGGGATTTTACATAGTTTTTAGCTCTTAAAATAGAGTCTCTCGTTAAGACTAATTTGAATGTTTGGCTTTTCAAGAAAATATGGAAATATCTGTTCTTTTTGTGAGATTTTTATTGTGAATACTAATGGCAATCAGAAATTCTCTAATTTGCTTAATACTACACCTTTCCATGGTACAAACATGAGATCTTCAGATATATAAATTTTTGTTCTTTTTTAGGTTAAAGTTGTGGATCCAAAAACAAAAAACTGTACAACATTAGCAGGAACTGGAGACACAAATGATGTTATCAGTTCCAGTTTTACCGAGTCAACTTTTAATGAACCAGGAGGCTTATGTATTGGAGAGAATGGTCAGTTGTTATATGTAGCAGACACCAATAATCATCAAATTAAAGTGATGGATTTAGAAACAAAAATGACTTCTGTGGTAAGTAATTTTACAGTATAAGTTAAAGGGTATGATTTTAAGGATGATATATAGATCCTTACAGCACTGACAGAGGCATTTTTGGTTAGGCCATCTCCAGTAGAGTAGAGTGGATGCCTCTGTTATGGTTTTGGTATCCAGATTAGCAGGACTGCTTTAAGGATATCTTGTTATTCTTAAAATAAAAGTTCCATCTGTACTGAGAGTTTGAGAAAGATAATGGAAGTTGGAGAGAATTTGATGAACCTTGAAGAAGAAAAAGGAGAGAGTAGTCAGATCTGGTTTTAAGTGTGTGGGCATACTGACACATACTACATACATATACCATGTATGTAGTACATTTAGCTTTTTGTTTCTGTTTTTTTCAGTGATCCTTAGATTAACTTGTAGTTTTGTTTCCCATGGTGAGTCCATTATCAAATCTTCCAAAGGAAGCATTAGAAGCCACATTTCTCAAGACATTGAAAACAAATTGGAAGAAACTTACATAAGTTATAATTAATTTTTAAAGCCATAGATATGATCTTTTATAGAATTTTCAAGGAGAAATGTCTGTTACAGGCTACTTCTTGATGTATTACATTTATCAGATAAAAATGCAAGACTTTTTTTCCTAGAAGTCTATTAATTTGCAAAGTATATGTTTTAAAATAAAAAACACAGATTTCTATCATAACGTGTCATTTCTCTTTACATAGATCTCTGACATAAGATGAATAACATCTTCTCATAGTTGACAATGAAAGTTGTAAGAGAATGTATATCTACTACATTTAAATTGATAAAGTTTTGCTTTAATTTTCTGCCATCTATAACCATTGGACAATTAATTTAATTCTGTCTCATTCATAAGTCTTGCTAATTTTTTTTGGCAAGATGAACTATGTTTCTGCACCTATAAAATAATCTTTAGGGCATCTAAGTAAACACATTCTAATTCAGACTAGAATGACAATTAGTTTCATTGATATAGAACTTAATTTTTCTACTTAATTTTAAAAATAAGCTTTCTCACTCTATAATTTCTATAAAGTACTTGTGTTTTAATAATAGTTTTTGCTATTTCCTAGCTTCCCATCTTCACATCTGAAAATGCTATGGTAGATGGCCCATTCCCAGCAGAAAAACAGAGGACATTACCAAAACTGCCTAAATCCGCTCCAAGCATTGGGCTTTCCCCCATGACTGCGAGTCCTGGCCAGACTCTACAGTTCAAACTGAGATTAGAACTCCCGTCAGGAGCAAAACTAACTGAAGGAGCACCCAGTTGCTGGTTTCTATCAGCTGATGGTATGAGAATAATCTGCGGATACAAATATTTCATAAATTCTCAATGTTCAATCTAGTAATTTTTTTTTCATTTGTTATATTTGTACTCTAATTGGGCAAGATTTGCAAGATTATGTGAAACAATGAATCTAGATCTGACTCCACTTTAGGAGTTTTCCTTAGTCTTCAGGATTCTTACCCCCCTTTTATTAAAGAACAGTACAACTCATCAGAAGTTACATGTCAGTTGTCAGCACTATTTCTTAGAATATAGTTTTTCTTATACCTCTTCCCTTTATTCTAACCTTGTTCTACATTCTGTTTATGTTCCCAAAAAGAACCTCTTGGAGTTAAAAAGTCTGAAACAGAGAAATAAAGTGGAGCCTTCTTATTTAATCTTTTTCTATACCTCTTCCTTTCAGTCCCCTGTATAGATTTTTCCCTTTCTTCTGTGTGTGTGGAATCCTAGGGTGAACTAGCTCCTTATTTCATTAATTGGTGATAAGGAATAGTATACTGCTTGCCTTGTAGTAGTGTTTTCCATCATCTCTAACATAATGGACAATAATGTTAGAGTGAGATATTAGTGGTCCAGAATGTCTAAATTATGATCTCTTGTCTCTAACGATCTTCCTCTGTCCTAGTCTCCCACGCTCTTTCACACTTTCTCACTCAAGTTTCCGTTTCCTCTCCAATTCCTCCTCCCTCATACCCTCTCACACACTTTTCTTTTGTGCATTACCCAAATCCTAGCTTCATGCCTTTTTACCTTCATATGTTCTCAGGGCAGCAGCTACTGGCCTGCAACTATTAACTCGGGGTCCAAACCAATAGGACAAAGAGATCTTGATATACTAGCTGGGAAGAACTGCAGTTAGAGTTTGGGAGGCTGGTTCTGGGGTAATTGAGCCTGTGGCGAAGCAGCCATCCTTTCCCTCCCCACAAGGGAAAGCGCTGACCATGTAGTACTACGATGTTTGGAGCTTTGTTGACAGAAGAGTACTCAAACCCCGGCCACTCCACAGCCTTCTGTAGTAGGTTCAGAGCAAGTCCTAGACTGCCAGTTTAACTGTTTTGTGTCCATAAAGTCTGAAAGATTGCATCAATTGGAAATCACTAATTTAATTTCTCTGTGTAATTAAATAGCAATGTATTGGTTTTTAAACTGAGATGTTGTCAAATTAATGTGCTTATTTTAAACTCTGCATTGTCACACACGAATTAATTAATATTGATATATTATTGGTGTATAAAATAAAGGTAGTATTAAAGGAAAGTAAAGTAGATTGTAGGGAAAATACTCAGCCATTTTATCACTTGTGTTAGATATTAGCTTTATTTTTATTATATGGGCCAAACAAGCTTTTAGGCAAGAATCCTAATAATTTAGGGTTTTTGAAAATTATTTTATAGAGTACATTTGTACACTTATGGTTAAAGGACATTTTCTCTTCTTGGCTGGCTATTTAGAAACAGAAACATTTATTTTTAACTGAATTTTGGTCTGTATCTTAAAGTAGTTAGAATATGTGAAAGTTTTAAGCCAAAAAAAGGCAGCATAAAAGCACCAACATACATTATAACTTCACAGATCGTATGTGTGATGTATATGAAAAATATCTAAAGAAACATTTTCTGTTTTATTTCCAGATTTGGACATATTTTAAAATAGCACCGTTTATTACTTTTCTTGTTTGACTTAAAATAGAAGTTCTCTACTAATCTCTTTAGCAAAATCAAGCATTAAATAAAAGATGCTCCTGTCCAGGAATAAAGCAAAGAAAGCCAAAAAATTTTAAAGAGAATTTTAAAAGAATTGTTTAAATACTTCTATATAAAAATCTCTGCACTTAACTCTTCAGATTTTTACCTTTCACCTTCTCGTTACTTTTATTTAACATATTTTTTTCAAATTTGATTTTGCAATCAACAGAATATTAGAAGCAATAAGCTAAAGGAGACATCGAGAGGACTGATGGAGGCAGATACCCTGAGTCTGGTGACTCATCCTGAGAACAGAGGAAAGAGACAGCAAAGCTAAAGAGTAGACGTGGCATTTTTTCACCACTCAGTAGATGGCCCAGGTTTTGTACAGATGCCTCGAATCACTGATGAGTCGTTGGATTATGTTTAGTGTACTCTGTCGAAGACACATTCCCCAAATGCTGGCTCTTGGTATCTGCCACCCTCTTAGGCTGAATGTCTGTGGAAGTCTGTGCTCCCTCAGTATGACATGTATGCTCCTTCTGAGAGAAGGCTAGAGATAAATGAAGACATTTAAAGAAAATGTTAATATTAGACTTAAAACTTTTAAGACTTAAAACTTTTAAAATTTTAATTTTAAAGACTTAAAATATTTAAATATTAAAATATTTAAGACTTAAAATATTTAAATATTAAAGACTAATATTAGACTTAAAACTTTTAAAATTTTTGTTATATAGATAATCTGTGTATTTAAGTCTAGGAAGAATTTTATGTATTAAAATGAGGTATATAAAATCTCTTAAGTATTTATATTGTTTGAGCCCATGAAGAATTTATATGCAGTGGTACCTGTTTCTAAAGAAATCCATGGATTTTTTTATTACTATTTTTGGATATTCAGTAATCTATTATTTTAATTAGAAAGTCACTAAGAGTTGCATATACATTTGTATTCCCTAAAGCTTATTTTGTAAGTTTTTATGTTATATACCTGAAGACTTTTATCTATTTGGTAAAAATGATCTATTTTCTTAAGTGTCCTGTTTATTTCCAAACTTAAAGGATTTCATTTTTAACTTTAGAGATTAAGGCTCTATAGCCATATTTGTAGTATTCAGCTTGATTTCAATAGAAATAAATTTATAACTTATTTTACAGTGTCCAAACAAAATAATTATAATAATTGGTAAAATGATCATCAGAGTGGGAACTTCTCATGGGTGGTCATTATATCTTATTAATATTGTATTTCTGTCCTTCCCATGGAAGGCAATGCCTAGCCCTTAGAGGCTTTTGATAAATATATCTTGATTGAATTAATAAAGTTTTCATAAGGTTTTTCTGATTTCCTCCTTGTCTTCTTACAAAGTCTTAATAATTTACTTTTTTATTTTCTAGGCAATGAATGGCTTCTTCAAGGCCAGATACCATCTGGAGACATAGAGAACATTTCCAATCAGCCGACAATTTTACTGCAGATTCCTGGTGATTGCCTGTCACTTGAAGCCGTTGTCTCTGTCAGCGTGTTTCTTTATTACTGTAGCGCAGATAGCAGTGCTTGCATGATGAAGGCAATTTTGTTCAGTCAGCCTTTGCAGATAACTGATACAGAGCAAGGTCACATGGCTCCAGTAGAGCTCAGGTATGTGTTTTAGCAAGCCAGCTAGCAACCCGTTGCCACAGCCCCCACTTCTCATCCTCACCATTACTGTAACTTATGAAAGAAAATTCTGTTTCTGCCTCTGGATGCCAAGACACCCATTGCGCAGTTCTAGCAACTGATGTTAAAATAAAGCTATGCTCCTTACTTTTTTATTGTGAACAAATTCCTTTGTTCTGGCTGCATACTAGCTAAGTCATTGATCATCATTTGGACCATGACATTGTAGTCTGTGCTGCAGTTTGGCACAAGACTAAAGTCCACACTATAGGAGAGAATATTATCCTAAGATAATTTGCAGTGAATACTAATAATAGTACCAGATATTTCAACTAACTTTTTCTATCTTTATTAATAGCACACATGAATGTGTAAATTTCACAGTAACTTTAGACAGAACTTAAGTTTCAGTCCATGGTTGTGTAAGGACACCTGCTGTTCAAGGCATAAGGTCTGTTGTAAGCCAAAAAAAGTTTTTTCATCACAGTGTAAGCTTAAAGCATACACGTATGGTAAATATGATCTTTATTCTTTTCTGTGATTGTCTCAGTTGAGATATTTTTAAGAGAATTTTGATTGATTTTTATCATAAATTATTTTAACATATCATTATTAATGCCTTATAACTTTATATAGATAAAGTTGCACATAGACCCATTCCTTTAACTTTGTTTTTGAATGAACACATTCTTACCAAATAATTAATGAGTCTTCAGAAATATTATGACTTTTAAGGAAAAAGGAAGTTAGGGATACATTACTGTCTGTGACAAAGAATTTATTGTGACAGCTGAATCTGATGTAAATGGCTATATATGTTGTTTGGGAAATTTACATTTCACTTATAAGCATTGAATGCAGATTTATTGGGTTTCGTTGTACATTTTTTTGGTTCCCATATTCAGAATTTAAATTATCATTTATTGTGATGTTTTTAAAAATCATTTTGAGACTTCAAAGTCAAATTTTCAATGTGATGTACTGTCATGCTATTAATAGGTATAATATATCCTAATATACCACTCTCTAAAATATTAAGGCTAAAACAGTGATTTAATGATACTGTTTTTGATTTTTTTAAACCCCAAGAGAAATAGCCACTGAAGATAATTGAAAGATTTTTTTATTATCAAAATTTATCTTTATAACTATTTAAAAGCCTATTGTTTTATTCCTAAAACTGATTCAACATATTTGTGATTTAATCAGCTTACAAGATTTTTAAGAAAGTAGATGAACCATGTTTATTTATTTAATAAATATTTATAGACAATATGGCATAATGTGCTTCCCTCCACCTCAAAATCAGTGCTAAATTTAAAGTCTCTTCCCATTTCTTTATAGTTTTTTGAAATACAGTTTTGAAACATAGTTTGTTTTATTTATAAGGTTAGCTAAATCTCTGAAATAAGAGATTATATAAATCATCACTTTGATTTAGGTAGTAACCTACTAAAGCTATTTTTTAAGAGAAGTATAAATGTAAAATGAAAAGGAATCCTGTTTAAAATTATATGTAATTACCTCATAGCCTTTTCTCTTCATAGTTAGACAAATAATGTTCTGTAAGAAAAGGATGTATAACGTTTATATACTCTTTTATAGAGAATAGGCCTTAGTTATTTTTTTATCTCACTTATTATATTTCTCATTTCTAGTTGGACAGGATGAGAATATTTTGGCTCAAAAATTTCCTGTTTAAGGACATAAATGATTTGTTTCACTCTCCAAAAAAAGTATATATAGTTTTAAGTTGCTAATTTAGAAATACCTGATAATTTGATTTTCATTATAATACACAAACACACACACACAGTATGTATGATATATTTTCATGTAAATTGAAAATCCAAAAATACTTTTTAGAATCTATTAATTCTCCTTTGTTTACACAGTTTTAGTTTACTCTCAAGATTATACTTTTCTTGACTTTCAAAGTATAGTTGTTTTGAACATTCTTACCCACTCTTAGTCTACATTGTTTTTTACATTAAAAATATTATTTTTCATGGATTAGTATGATTTTGAATGAATCACACTAAAGCAATGTAAATAGGTTCCTGGAATTTATGACTAGCTTAAAGCTCTTACATGAGAGGAAGCACTAGAAAGTTTATTTTAAAAACTTCTTGATCCATATCTGCTTTCTGTTTTCTATGAGGATTTCTGTATATTTTTAAATTTTCCTTTTTTGTCACGTAAATTATTATGTCCAGTGATAGTTTAAAAAGTGATATTTTAGTGTAAGTCACCTTAATGTCACCAGTAATGTGGCATTATACACACTTTGACATAATACCTGGAATCTTTGCCTTAAATTATTCTGCCTATTTGTCACTTTTTTTTCTTTCCCTTTTTGTGGTATCATTTCACAAATGGTAGAATTTTTTTTTTCTGAATTCATACTCAGGACTGATACGATTCCTATAAAGAATTTTGCTTATTTTGAATATTCTATCTCAAGCAAATATTTAACCTATTCATAAGGCAAAACATTGCAGTTTAATCACTCATAAGTCTAACTTTGGCAGAGAAAATTTTCTCCTTTAACTATTATAATAATATATGATTTTTATTAATATTATAGTACTATCAAGTCTTCAGAAAGCGATAAACCAAAAAAAGTTTAGTATGTGTGCAAGAGTATCTGTGTGTAGTGTATATGTGTATACATGTATGTATATATACATACAAAGATACAAAGATCAATTCAAGAATTACTTGTCTTTTATGGCCAATATACTTTGGAGCTAATACCACTGAGTTAAGTTATTCTTTGTTTATTGTTCTATAGTTGGAAAATTTGGGAAGATACTCAAAATACGTATCTCTATAATATAATAATTTTCTAACTTCTGAAAATTTACTGCAATTTATCTCTGCGAATTGGAAAGACTTGAATCCAGTCATTATATTTGGCATGTTTAAGAGCAATCATCAAAACCTAAGTAAATTCTGCAGTTCATAATTGCATAGAAATATATGCAGAGGGAATTTCAGTAATGGTTCTCTTGAATGATGGAATTATGGATATTTTTATTGTAATTTTACTTTTCTGCATTTATTTTCAGTGAGCAACTTGTTATTTTTAAAATCAGAGAAAACTAAAATTTTTTAAACATTTAAAGTTAACTGAATTGTAAGCACTTACATAATAACTTTTTTAAAGTCACTTTTATTACCAAAGATCGGAACATAGTTTGGAGTTCCTTAGATCTACCAGTTCTCTTTACTGAAGTATATGATTTCATGAAGATAGAAATTATTATGGCTTTTTTGTTCTGGTGTTTTTATTGTGTAACACAATGTAGTGGTTAACAGTATGAACTTTGTGGTAACTTAGATCTAATTCTATAAAATGGGGCTAATATACTTGTTTCATGGGATTTCTATAAGTATTTAATGATATATTGTTCATAAAGCATTTAGTAATTAATGAAACTGGTAATCATTGGCTTAGTTAATATAAAGGTAATTTATGCCCCTAGACACACATGACCTGACATTTTCTTTGCAACTGCAATTTCTAAAGGAAAATATTTTTCCTAACAACTATTTGTTAATATTCTCTGTAGAGTTGGGGTTAAAGAAGCATATTGCTATTTTATAAATAATATTTATTAATAAAGAAGCATATCTATAGTTTTATTAAAATTTTTAAAAAGACCCTTTGGAACTGGAGGTAATAAACTTGCTTTGAAAGGATCCAGACATACTCATCCTGAACCACATTCCTACATGTGTCCAACAACTTGCACCAGAATACTTATGTCTTAACCAAAAAGTTTCACTCTGGTGGTGCTTTACAAAATCTTCAAAGTGCTTTCATGTATATTGCCTCACTTGAGCTTCAAAATAACTTTATAAATGAGACACGTAGATGTTGTGTCCATTTTGCAGAAGAGACAGCTTTGGAATATTGGTGACATCAGAAAGGTCCCAGAATAATGCCCAGGGCTTAAAGAGGCACCTGGTGCCAGTAGGGGCTCAATTCTGTCAAATGATTTAAGAGCGAATAGTGGATCTTTAATGCAGGCACAGGTCTCCTAACTCCATGATGTAGAGGGAAAACAAACTACTAAATTAAGAGTACTTATTTAATTTAAGCTTTCAAATCAAGTAATAAGAATCATAGTAAATTTTTTGAGTTCTTACTATTTCCTAGCACTTTTCTAAATGCTTTACATGTATTAATTCATTTAATCTTCACAATAACCTTATGAAAAAGATACTATTTTTCCTTATTTGACTGATAAGGAAACTGAGACACAGGTTAAGCAGTTACAGCAGCATATCAAGAGCACACCTGTAGGAAGTGGCACAGCCTGCATGGGAGTCTGCTCAAATCCCTGCTGTATTGCCTCTCAAAGTAGTTTTTTTTTTTTAAAGCATAAATATTTCATAACTTTATATAGCAACTTGATCCATAGAACCCCAAAGTCCTGGCAATGATTGTTTCTGAAATTTAAATAAATCCATTTAATTAGATGACTTTAATTGTTGTTTCTCAAACGATTTTATGTACCACTCTTTCTTAATTTCAGATATTATCCAGAGTTTTTCTTGGCAGGTGGATATATTAAAGAAAAAGCTTTCCAGTGTTAGTTCCGACAGTGCTGTTTCAATTGGTCTTCAAAAGGTAATTAGGACCTTGTCATAAAGAATCATGGATTCCTAGCACAGGACTGTCTTTGACCCTAAGAATCTTACTCATATTTAAGAAAATTTTGTTTTATTAGCCAAAGGGAGCTCTAGAAATATAGTCTTCTGCTTTCTTTTTTCATAAATAACAATGATATGTAGACCTCTCCTAAATAATTCAAATATATGCAATTCTATTAAAGTTTTCACCAAGTTCAACCTATTATTCTAGCATTAGGTACTATTAAAAGGAATGAAGCAAAGTGCTACATACCAATTATTGTGATTCATGATCATCCACATACAGAATGCAAACATCTTTTCATTGTTAAATAGTTGGTTAATTAAGTAATATGGTGCAGTTGATTTTGTTATAAAATCCCATTCCTGAAGTCCATAAGAAAATGGATAGCAACTTAAGAAAGTGATAATAGTGTCATACTTTAAAAGTAGAATTCACTGTTAATCACCAAGATTGCCTTTTCCTCCACCTGTGGCACATAGCTTATTTAAATGAAGAATTACTGCTAGCCATAAGTTACTATTTTGTCTTGAATAGTTAAAAGTTTGCTTTTCTCTCACTTCTTAACAATAGGGTAATATAAAGAATTGTATTAAAAATTAAAGGCTCAACTAATCTGCCTGTATATGTATTCCATAACTAACAAACCTTGGCCCTTCCACATATTAGACCTGCAGGTTGGACTGGCTGTCTCTGGCTTTCAGATGGCTGATCTGATCCCAGAGAGCCTGGGTAGAATGGGACAGGAGGCAGCCCCACACAGCTCTTCTGATTATACCCATTCCATTGTAGCTCTTCTTAGTGTGCTGGTTTAGTTTAATATTTTCAAAGGTTAGAGTTGGAAAATGAAAACCTTAGATACTTGTTGTGGAATGTTTGCCTAGTTATAGTTATTCATTGTTTGGTGTGTCCTTCTTCTTCACTGGCATGTCGCTCTCAAGTGTACCAAAGGACATTTTTTCTGTTGAAAACAGTAGGACCGAAAGGAAAGTATCACAAGTGTTTCCAAATATACTTCCCTACCTATACCAGCAACCGTATACTAAAAAGCACTAAGCAAGTACAAATGAGCACTAAACAACCTTATACCAAAAAGCATTCTTGTGACTGTCAGGGTATGGTGTGAATTCCTTTCTCTTTAAGCAGCAACTTAGAGGCCTGGTGGTTTTAAGTAACACAGCGTTAAGCAAAATTGTCAGATATTTTTAATATTGGAAGCTTAAAACTATAATATGGACAAACATCATTTACTACCTTTTGTTATTTTAATATACTTGGTTACATATTTCTATTTGAAATGTGAAAGGATACCTCATAATCTGATGCTGAGAAATAGAGAAAAAAATCAGCTCTCATATTTAAATATTCCCAATTTAAGTAGGAATAATTATCTAGTGTGTGCTAAGCTCATGGGAAATACATGTTGAAGTAAATGTGAGAAAACATTAGTTGATAGATTATGCTAATGAAAGGTAAAAATAGACATGTTCCTATCTGAAAATTTAGGACTCTGTCATGCAACTATCTTTTCTTTTTAGAATTTATAGTCATTATTCTTAGTCCCACCAGAAACATTCATTCTTTGAACAAGTGCAGGTATACCTGGTGTGTTTATTACACTTTTCAAAACGCTAGCAGGTTTTTCTCTATAGAGTTGAAATGTATTGTTCATGCATGCCTGTGATATTCATCATCAGTATATACCTATAAAAGATAAATTACCACTTCCTCTCTACACCTTAGGGTTCCCTCTCAATAAAAGCAATAGTAGTTTCTATAGAAGTTTCACTGAGGAACTGTGGTTACACAAATAACAGACACAGAAAAATTTTATTATGGTGGGTTTTTTTCCCTAGAATTCCTAAAATTTCAAAGGAAGAGAACAATACCCTATGTGAATTCAAATTAATTTCTCTCTACTTTGAGGCATACCTTTCTAACTATATTTATGTAGGTTAATATTTTTTAAAAATTTGAATTCTCACTTTTAAGGTGCACAGAGAGCAGTTTAGAAATGTTGTAATTGCTGTCATTGCTTCACATGTGGATTATGAACAAATCAAAGTTAGCTGTGTGATTGATATCTATATATATTTATCACTGTTTCAAATTGTAACATTTCATAAACATGTCAAATTTTAGACGCACTCTTTCCTGTCTTGTGTGTGGATAAAGTTTGTGGTTTTATTTCTGAGATTAGCGTTAGTCTGATGTGCTGATTTCATGTCTGTCATTCCAAAGATTTGATGATATTTATTTTTTTCTCCAATGATTAAAAATACAGTGAAAATCCAATTTACAAGTTCATGTATTAGTATTTCTAGACATGGTCTAGTTGTAAAAGAATTTACTTGGTGTGCATTTTTTAAGTGTTTCATGTAGACAGATTAATATATTTTTATACAACACTGTATTTCTACACTTGTTTCAAGACTGTATTCTTCAGTGACTTTTTCAAGTGCATATGTTAACAGAAGACTGTTTGGAATAAGAGTGCAATGGCCTTTATAACTCTAAAGAGTGTAATACAAGTGATCATAGAAAGCGAGAATGGATTTATACTTGTATGTGGAAACCTAATGCCTCTTTTCTAAAGCTTTGTACATTTTTTTCATGAAATAGATTAAATATTTTCTCTCTAACACCATGTTTCTGTTTTTAATATGCTTTCTAAGTATATCATGAGATAATTTTAATACCTGGAAACCTATATACTATGATCTATTTGAGATTTTGGGGAAACGGGGAGCATAGTATTTAGTTTTAAAAAATTCTGCAAGCAGATACTTCAAAATCAAATCATATAACATTGCTATATAGGTTTTTAGAAAATATATTGGGAAAGGGTAATATATTCAGTAAATGATATTGGGAACATTTAGAAAGAACAACAACCAACAGCAAAAATTAGATTTCTACCTGACACTATACATACAGAATTTGAAAGGAAATAATGACTTACCATAAAAATAAAATTATAAAAATGCCAGAAGAAGATAAAGGAAAATAGTAGTTTTGGGAGTAAGGATGGCTGGCATTCCTAAGAATGACCTAAACCCAAAAGCAATGATTGTAAAGATTGATGTGTGTGACAAAAATTTTAAGCATCTGTATAATAAAAAAGTTAAAGGGATATAACAAACTGAAAGAAAATACCTTCAAAGCATAAAATGGACATAGGATTAATGTGTACCATATGTGAAGAGCTCCTATAAACTCTTAAGAGGAAGACAACCCAGTTGGAAAATTGGCAAAGAATATGAGCATACAATTCACAGAAGAGATTATGTAAAGATGTTCAGTCCCACTAAATCAAGAAATGCAAGTTTGTTCATTCAGCTATTTATTGAACACCTGTTTTATGTCCAGGCCTCACAGTTGCATTTGAATGATGAGAAAAGCCCAGTCATACAGCCAGCTGCAGGAAGTACAGAGGCTGTGTAGGCTGCTGTTTTCCTAAGTGATTCTATCAATTCCATTCACTTTGGCAAAGTATAGGAGAACCAGTGGATCCACATTTTCTCCAACATTGTATTGTTAGACTTGAAATTTTTGCCATTCAAATGTAAGATGTCATCTCATTGTGGTGTTAATTTGCGTTGCCGTGACCACCAGTGAGGCTGAACATTTTTCTACCTTTCTCACCCAGTAGTTGCACTTGTAAAAATTATTTCAGTAGAATACTTGTATATGTGCTCAAAAGTGTCAGCATCGTAATAGTGAAAAAGTGACAACAACTTAGATGTCTGTCAACAGGGAAATATTAAGTAAACAACAGTCCATCTGTACAATGAAATACAATGCAGCCATTGAATTACAAACATCTACTTGTTTGTACTCCCTTGTTATGTGAAAAACACAGGTTTCAGGATTAATGTCAATATGCATTTTTAATTTTTTCAAAACTAGCTCCATGCATATGTTTACATGCACATACGTATGTGCATAAATAGGCCTTGTTTTACACAGTAATGCAAGACCATAAAAATGATTATTCAAGCTGAAACTGTGCAAAGCAATCTCAATAATCAATCGGGAGAAATATGATTGTTTCATGACCTTTAAAAATGTAAGTAAAAATGTTAAAAGCCCTCTTACTGTTAATCATAAATGTCTGAGGAAATGAAAAATATAGTAAAGCTAATACTTAGTACACCATAATTTAAAACATTGTAAATATTGGGAATTCAAGTTTTTATGTGTCAAAAAGCTTAACAAGAGTATTTAAACAGTGCTTGCTTTCCTCTAATGGTATAATTTACAATACAGAGTAAGCATCTTTTCTGTGCTTTGGCAAATGTCATACTTCTTGCTTTGATGCTTTCAATGTTGTTAAGATATCTCTAAGAGTTCTTTAATGTGTAGTTTTATGCCAGTATCACTTCCTCTGGTCACTGTGCATGTTATTCAGCTCATGCACAGATAGCAGAGTGGCCTTGAGCAAATTACTTCATCTCTGTCGACATTCAGTTTCCTTGCTGTACAACTGGATATTAATACCTCACAGAATTATTTTATGATAATGTTAATCGTCTTTTCATTACAACCATTTTCCTCATTTATGTTGATAAGTTCACCTTCACTGAGTTTCCCTGGCTTCTTATCTGGAGTCTGTCAAACAGCGACAGTATCAGCATTCCTGCAGTCAGCTCAAATTTTACTTCCGGTGTATCACTTTTCATTTCTTTGCTGTGCTTTTTGTGTTTGTTGGCCAGTTCCGTCTTTTGACATTTTTGTAAAATGTCATGTGGCTCTATCACTAGGAAACGAGAAGGCAATACGACTATGCACTTTGCTGTCTGTTCATTAGCTGAATAACAGATGCACAGTGACCAGTCACTGAAAGACTTTGAAAGAAGTGACGTTATTGGTTACCGATCATGGGGCACATCTGTTATTACATAGTGATTTGTGGACTGAAGAGCCAACGGTAAAATTTGTACTTAATAATTACATTTAATAGGCCATGCTAAGTAAAATTTGAACTGTGTTATTTGGAGACTAGTGTTGTTTAAACCATGTAACAGAAATTGTGCATATCAGAATTGTTGAAAGCAAGGACTGCCTGCATATATGTAGAAATACATATATATATACATACATATATACACACATATGAAAATATAAATAGGAAAAAAAATAGAAATACTAGGTAGGACACACAAATTCCCAGCAACAATATAGAGTTGAATTTGGGGAAGAGGATAGCAGGGAACTAATGTTGACTATTATTTTTGTATTGTTTGAATTCTTACAAATTAATATTGTAATTTTTTAAAACAAATTAAGTGAAAGAAAAAGTTTACTTCATTTCCCTCAATGATGCGACTTGCTTTGTGTACATTCTGGAAAAAGCCAGAAAGGTAATGAGGAGTAGTAATACAAGAAACTGTGTGGAATAAATAAATGTTGACTAGGGGGAAAAAAGCCTATGATGGTTAGAGTACGTGAAGAAAAATATAAAATGAGAGTAAACTTGCCACACAGCATAGTGTTACATCTAAGATACCAACTGTGGCAGCTAATCCGACCCTGTTGCTTAGCAGAATGGCCTGGAGCAAATTACTCCATCTCCATCACATTCAGTTTCCTAGTTATACAACTGCATATTAATACTTCACAGAATTATTTTATGATAATGTTAGAAAACAGCAACTAACAACTAGTAAATGCTCAGAACATTGGATTATTCATGCCATGGAGAGCAGTAAATTTTCTGCCAGTGAATGTCCTCAAATTGAGTCCATAAGGTAGTTGATTGAAGTATTTCTCACCTCAGGTAGAACCAGAGCACCTCAAGTTCTAGGCCTTTCTAAGAGTTTGATCGGGAATATATATATAAAATAAGTTTGTTTAGTCTTATTTCAAAATAATTTGTCATTTTTGCCTTAGGACATTGATATTTTTTAGAAAGAGACATACCCTACAAACCAATACACATAGTACATTTACAGATACACAAAAGTTTAATAGACTCAGAAAATTATTTAAGTTTTATTTATTTTTTTAGAGATGGGGTCTCACAGCTCACTACAGCCTCCAACTCCAGGTTTAAACAATCCTCCTGCCTCAGCCTCCCAGAGTGCTGGGATTATAGGCATGAGCCTCCACGCCAGGCCTAAAATGCTTTTAGTTAATGAAATGCAACCTTGTTAGTGGAAATAATATTTTGTGACTCCAGTCCCTAGCTAATTCATTTATATTTTGAACTCCTAACTAGGTAAGAAACTTCTGACCTAAAAGGATCTTGAGAAAAGCCAAATTTGATATTCACTCCCCTCCCTTTTTTTCTTTATGAATAGTTCATAAAAAATATTTGAAATATCCTTCATGTATCTATAAAGGCTTACTGGGGCTATTTTAAAACTCCATTGTAATGAAGGTTTATGAAAAAAATCATGGGCTATCCAACGTACAGTAATCATGTTACTTTACAGATTTGTGACCTCAAGCTTAACAATTTTCCAAGGAATATACCGCTTTTTGTTACGAGATTTTTTTTCATGACACGTGGAATACATCTAGACCTTTATGATATTCTGTACTCAGTTCTTATCTTGCCAGCTGTCAAGGAGCAGATCTAATCTAATGACAGCACTAAAGTCATATTAATAATTTGTGTCAATAAAGTGCATCTGTCAAATTGTACTGCAGTGAATGAGATAATAGGGAGGCTCATTGATGTGACCATGAACACTTCGGAACTCCTGCACTCAGGAATCTGCCTTTCAACACGTGCAGCGACACGTGTCAATGCTGCCTAATTATTTTCCAACAGCAGGATAAGCCCCTCAACATAAATAATGGGATTGCTTCAAGTCTGTTTTTAAATCATTAATTTTTTATGAAACTACAGTGAGAAAACTTTTTTACATTAATGAGTACTGTACTTTGTTTTGCTGTACATCACAGCACTGTAAGTTGACTTTTTTTTTAATTGAGATAGTTCAGCTTTTTAGTTTGAAAACATCTTCGTAACTTTTAAACAATGCTTGTATCTCTATTGTGAGATATACACACACAAATTATATATGCTAAATTATGTATATATGCCAAATTTATATATGTGTGTGTGTGTAATTTGTGAGTTTGACCAGTTACACTTTCTAGTTTTCCCTTTGTGACCCCAAAGTCACAATTCTAGTGAATCTTAGGGTACAGTTTTAATAAGTGGTGACTTTAATCCAACTTTGGAATTATGACTAAAAATATGTTGAGCATATTTTAAGTTCAGTGGCTAAGGGAAGCTAACAGACGATCACTGTATAGTGTGTCTGCCATTAATTCTCCTTATTGAAGAAATCACTGAGAGGATCCCCAAGAAAGACTAAATTCTGTAATCCTGCCAATACTTGAGAAGCATTCATTTCCCATAATATGTTTAAGATTTTAATTTGAAAAAAGTCATTTCATTAAATTCTGTCTCTTTAAATTGAAATTATTCTATATTTGGCATTTCATTTGAAATGACACCACAACCAGGTCCCTTATTAGAGTATGCCAGATAGGAGGATAAATATTTGAAGTGTAGTTTATCTGCCCATCATGGAAAGGGAAAAACAATAGCTTACCCATGTTCAGGAAGCTGGCATGACCTAAGAAATCAGGCATTACAAGGGAGGTAACAAGGCTCTTTACCCCA